GGTGTAAATTTGGTGGTATTTGGTGGCCGGCCGCCGGCGGAGGCGATTTCCGGCCGGTGGTTCGCGGTGGTTCACGGTGGTTCACGGTGAGGAGTTCTCTAGGATGTGGAAACGGTGAGAAGGGGGGTAGGGGAGGGGTGTTCAGACAATTAAATATTAATGACTCCCGACTTCTGAGCCGTTGGATCGCCCAACCTCGACGGCTCAGATCTGCTAACGACGAAACGGTGTCGTTTGGTTGTAACGGGAGACGGGTCGGTATTGGGGTATGGATTTGGGCTAGGGTTTGATTTGGTTTTGGGGGGGGGGAGAAATCCGTTTGGGCTTGGAGAAGGGTGAATGAATTTTGGCCCAAAAAAAATCTATTTCTTCATCTCCTTTAGAAATCTCCTTTTATTTTCAAATTCTTTTTGATTTCTTTTCAAAATAAAACTAGGATAAAATCTAAGCTAATTCCTAAATGCAATTAACCCTACCACATTGCACTAATTAACTAACAATTATCAACAAACTAATGAAAACCCAATTTCCCAAGAATTCCAAACTAAAATTAAAAGTGCAACAATAAACTATTTTTGTGATTTTCACCAATTTATAAAACAATTAATTTATTAATTAATCCTAAAATGCAAAGTTAAATCCTAAATGCAAATGCGACATATATTTTTATATTTTTCACTAATTAAAAAGCACAAACAAATGCAAACGATTAACAGAAAAATGCCACCAAAATCCACAAAATTGAAAATAATGAAAAGAAATTATTTTGTTTGAAATTATAGGAATAATTCATATAGGGAAAAAATCACGTGCTCACATATAGTACACGAAAATTTGAAAATCGTGCTGAATTCTAGTTTTATAGCCTTAAAACGCCAAAAACGAGGAACGGTCATGGAAACCCAATGATTATTGCTCGTTTGGGTCATTTTTATGGTCCCGCAATATTTTAGGGGATTAGGAGACGGTCGCTTGAATTTATGTATCGTGCTGAATTCAAGTTTTATAGCCTTAAAATATGAAAAAACTAGGAACGGTCATGGACAAGGCGATGACTATTGTTCATTAGATAATTTTTTATGGTCCCGCATAATTTTAAGGGATTCGGCGCCTGCTGCCCGAATTCATGTAGCACACGAAAATTTGAAAATCGTGCTAAATTCCTGTTCTATGGTCTAAGTCAAAAAACGAGAAACGATCATGGTGAAATAATGAATATTATTCATTAGGTCATTTTTATGGTCCCGCAAAATTTTAGGGGATCCGGAGATGGTGGCCCGAATTCATGCACATGGCATGGATTATAGCACACGAAAATTTAGAAATCGTACCGAATTCTTATTTTATGGCCCTAAAACGCCAAAAAATAAAGAACGGTCCTGGCGAAGCAATGACTATTATTCATTGGATAATTTTTTATAGTCCCACAAAAATTTAGGGGACTCGAAGCCGGTCGCCCGAATTCATATAGATGGCGCGAAAATTCGAAAATCATGTTAAATTCCTATTTTAAGGCCCTAAAACGCCAAAAATGAGGAACCGTCATGACGAAGCGATGAATATTATTCATTAGAATATTTATTATGGTCCTACAAATTTTTAGAGAATTTAGATATGGTCGCCCGAATTCATGCATATGGCATATACCATAGAACACGAATATTTGGAAATCGTGCTTGTTTTAGGGACCTAAAATGCCAAAAAACGAGGAATTGGAAATGGTGAAGCGATGACAATTGTTCATTAGGTTGTTTTTTATATTTTCGTAAAATTTTAGAGGATTCGGACTCGGTCACCTGAATTTATGCAGATGGCGTGGACTATAGCACACAAAAATTTTAAAATCATGTTGAATTCCTGTTTCACGGCCCTAAAACACCAAAAAATGAAGAACAATCATGGTGAAGCGATGAATATTGTTCAGTAGGTCATTTGTTTCGGTACCGAAAAATTTTAGGGGATACGGAGCCAGTCGTCCGAATGCATGCAGATGGCGTGGACTATAGCACATGAAAATTTGAAAATTGTGCTAAATTTCTGTTTATGGCCCTAAAACGCCAAAAAATGAGAAACGGTCGTGGCGAAGTGATGACTATTGTTCATTAGGTCACTTTTTATGGTCTCGCAAAATTTTAGGGGTTTCGAAGCTGGTTGCCCAAATTCATACTGATGGCGTGGATTTTGAAATCTCGCTGAATTCCTGTTTTATGGCCCTAAAACGTTAAAAAAATGAGAAACTGTCATGGCGAAGAGGTGAATATTGTTCATTAGGTCATTTTTGTGGTTCCGCAAAATTTTAAGGTATTCATTGCCCGTCGCCCCAATTCATGCAGATGTCGTGGAATATAGCACACGAGAATTTGTAGATTGTGCCAAATTCCCGTTTTATGGCCCTAAAACGCCAAAAATCGAAGAACAATCATGGCTAAGCGATTCCTATTGTTCATTAGATAATTTTTTATGGACCCGCAAAATTTTAGGGGATTCAAAGACGGTTGCCCGAATTCATGCAAATTGCGTGGACTATAACACACGAAAATTTTGAAATTATGCTGACTTCCTGTTTCATGGCCCTAAAACATCAAAAGTGAGGAACAGTCATGACCAAGCGATGACTATTATTCATTAGGTTATATTTTTATGGTCCCACAAAATTTAAGGGATTCAGAGCCGGTCGCCAGAATTCATGCAGTTGGAGTGGAGTATAACACAAGAAAATTTGGAAATCGTGTGCTGAATTCCAGTATTAAGGCCCTAAAACACCAAAAAATGAGGAACTGTCACGGCGAAGTGATAAATATTGTTCATTAGGTCATTTTTATGGTCCCGCAAAAGTTTAGGGGATTCGAAGCCGGTCGCTAGAATTCATGCAGATGGTGTGGACTATAGCATACGAAAATTTGGAAATCATGATGAATTTCTGTTTTATGGCCCTAAAACGCCAGAAAATGAGAAACGGTCATGGGGAAGCAATGAATATTATCCATTAAGTCATTTTTATGGTCCCGTAAAATTTTAGAGGATTTGGAGTCGATCGCCCGATTTCATGCTGATGCGTGGACTATAACACGAAAATTTGAAAATCGTGCTGAATTCTTGTTTTATGGCCCTAAAACGCCAAAAAAGAGGGACGTTCGTGGCGAAGTGATGACTATTGTTCATTATCTTATTTTTTATGGTCGGTCGACCGAATTCATGCAGATGGCGTGCACTATAGAACACGAAAATTTGGAAATCGTGCTGAATTCCTATTGTATGACCATAAAACGCTAAAAATGAGGAACGGTAATGGCTAATCGATGACTGCTGTTCATTAGGTCATTTTTGATAGTCCCGTAAAATTTTAGGCTCTTCGGAGCCGGTCGCCCGAATTTTGGAGATGGCATGGACTATAGCACACGAAAAGTTTGAAATCTTACAGAATTTTTGTTGTATGGCCCTAAAACGCTAAAACGAGAAACGGTCATGGCGGAGCGATGAATATTATTCATTAGGTCAGTTTTTATGGTTCCGCAAAATTTAGGGAATTCGGAATCTCGCCTGAATTCATGCTTATGGTGTGAACTATAACATACGAAAATTTTGAAATCGTGTTGAATTCTTGTTTTAAGGCCCTAAACCGCAAAAAAAAAAAAAAAATGAACGGTCATGGCGAAGCGATGACTATTGTTCATAAGGACATTTTTAGGTTCCCGCAAAATTTTAAAGGATTCTGAGCCAGTCGCCCGAATTCATGCAGATAGCGTGGACTATAGCACACGGAAATTTAGAAATTGTGTCCTGTTTTATGGCCCTAAAATGTCAAACACGAAGAACTATTTCAGAGTTCAACACGATTTCTAAATTTTCACCCGAATTCATGTAGATGACGTGCACTATAGCACACGAAATTTGAAACTCGTGCTGAATTCCTCTTTTTGGTCCCTAAAATGCCAAAAAACGAGGAACATGCTGAAGCCGATGACTATTGGTCATTAGGTCATTTTTATAGTCCCGCAAAATTTTAGGCGATTCGGAGCCGGTCGCCAGAATTCATGCAGATGACGTGGACTATAGCACATGAAAATTTAGAAATCGTGCTGAATTCCTGTTTCATGGCCCTAAAACGCCAAAAAATAAGAAGCGGTCATGGCGAAGCAATGACTATTGTTCATTAGGTTATTTTTTATAGTCTCGCAAAATTTTAGGGGATTCGGAGCCACGCCCGAATTCATACAGATGGCGTGGACTATAGCAGCGAAAATTTGAAAATCATGCTGAATTTCTATTTTATAGCACTAAAACGCCAAAAAACAAGGAACGGTCATGGTGAAGCGATAACTATTGTTCACTATGTCATTTTTATGGTTTTGCAAAATTTTAGGGGATTCGTAGCCGGTCGCCCGAATTCAGCAGATGGCGTGGACTGTAGCTCACAAAAATTTGAAAATCGTGCTGAATTCCTGTTTTATTGTCCTAAAACGCCAAAAAACGAGGAATGGGTATGCCGAAGCGATGACTATTGTTTATTAGATCATTTTTTATGTTCCCGCAAAGTTCAGTATTCGCTTTAGGGTCCGATTATTCCGGATTCGCTTTGGAAATTCTCACTTTAGGGGGTAAAACACTCTTTACCAAAGGCATGATCCAATTAATCCGAATTTGATTTGGGAATTCTCATTTTAGGGGTAAAGCGCTCCCTATCAAAGACGACTCCCGTGACTTCTGATTAAAAATGGAGGATCACTAACTATCTCACCACAACCATTTGGTAGTGTTAATGGTGGTTAAGGAGATACTAGAATGCTCCTACAAAGTTTGGAGAAACCTTGGCCAATGTCTTACCGATTGTCCTAATCCACCAGAATTGTGCCATCCTATTATGCTGAAAAAGAACCGAACAACTTTTGTAAAAGCAGGTACAAGGATCCCTATTCTCCAACTTGTGGTGACCACGTGTAAATGCTTAGTATATTCATATTTATGTATAGTCGTGTCACTTTCCTTGCCTTTCCCATTTTTATCTTATCTCCAACAACTACTTAACTAGTGCACGAACCAAAGCATATATTCAACTTCATACTCAGATTCTTGAAATTAATCAATTCTTGTTTGCTTTGTATTACCAATGGCTAATATGGTGAATGCTTCACCAATTGCTTTCAGCAAACACTCCTCTCCTTCTTTTTCTTTCCTCAGTTTCCAACCAATTACTTCTTCCAAAATTGCCACTGAATCTTGTAAAAGTGCAGTGTTTAGCAATGCCAAAAGAAGGGCTTTTTTTGCTCCTACCTTAGCTTACAAGAACTTGAATTCTGAAGATATTGTTGATATAAACAAAGTTGAATTAGTGAAAGAAAATGAATTGGAAGAAGAGGATTCTACTACTGATGAGACCCTTTTGTATTCATTCAGTCCTTTGCCATTGATGTTTGTTGCTGCTCTTCCCGGAGGTAATGCTGCTGTAATACTGCTATACATTAAGCCACTATTTGGTGCTAGTTTTAACTGAGTTTAACTTTTATTTGGTGTCCAAAAGATAATTATAGGTAACAGTCCGTCAATAATAAGTGAAATATAGCTTAGTTTACCAACACCTACGACATGTTAAAGTGCTTAATACGACCTTACTTGAACAGGATCTAGGATCTGTTCTATAAGCTTGTAGCACTATATCCTTGAGTTCTAAGGAGACAGGAAATCAAGTCCGGTTGATGAGGCATGGCCAATAGACCAGAGCATGATTAACAACTACCTTAGCCCTCGGGTCATGGCGCCATAGATGATCGTTCTCGGCTCCCAACTATGGGTGTGCTGGGATGGTCTCAGAGGCGGACCTAGGATTTTTAAGTGCCCCCTAAAGGCTTTTAGTGTTCACGGTTCCAAGTGCTTTAAATTAACTATTTTCAAGGTATATACATATGCATATACAAGATTTTTGCCGAAGCTTACGGGTCGGGTGACTCCTCACTATAACATATAGGTCCGCCTCTGGATGGTCTGATGGCTGTCGGCCCTCGGGTCATGGCGCCGTAGATGATCATTCACGCCTCCCAGCTATATAAAAAAAAAACTGCTTAATGTATCCTGAAAATAGTTAACATGGTAGTAAATGCTTATCTTCTTTGTTCATAATAGTATCTTGTATGTCCTTTTCCAAATGCCAATTTGATTGGAAATTTGGCAATTTTTTCTTGTTGAATGTTTGTTTGGTTTTCCATCCGTTGTTTGGTATCTGCATTGGGACTCGATTTATTTCCCGTGTAAGGCCCGTTAAAGAGGGAATTTCTTGTTGAATATACGGATTTACAGATTGTGAGACTGAATAAAATACTTTTAAGATATTGAAATTAATCTGATGAAAAATTGTTGGTCATTTTATTCAGCTGGAACTATAAGGTCTTTGTTTGGTCCTTCTGTTGAGCTTGTAAAATCATGGAATTTACCAGATTGGCTTGTACATTGGGGTCATCCTGGTAACATGGTATGTGTGCTGTTAATTCATTGCAGCAAAACAAAATAACTCAGATGATTACTATATTGAAGTGAATTTGCTAAAAGGATCAAATTCCCTTTTTCAGGCTGTTGTGCTCTTTGCTATGGGTGGATATGGGACTTACCTTGGTTTCCGAATACGCTTTTCTGACGATGTGGTAAGACTTATCGAAAAGGATTCAACTTATACACACTGACAGTTTAACGAAAATTTCTTTTACATTGTCGTCAGTTTACAGTAGTTAAACTAATAAAGGATCTAACGTTGTTGTTGTTGTTGTTGTTGGCTTTCCGTTTATTTTTTTATTTTTATATTTTTGGATTGAAGTGTTTGATGAATTAATCTATTATTTGGTGATATGTAGGAGGAAAAGGCCAAAGCCAAAGATTTGCATCCAAAACTTCTAGGAGGAATGTTCTTCTTCTTTGCTCTTGGAGCTACTGGTGGAATTACATCACTTCTTACTTCAGATAAGCCTATTTTAGAAAGGTAGCTTATAAGATAATTATACTAGTTAAATTTGATGATAACATCAATTGATAACATGAATAGAATGATAACTAACATGTTGTAATATGTTAAACTACACCGATAATGTTTTTAAAAAAATTACAATGTCAATATATATAACTTAAATCCTTTAGATAAATAGTCGAACTGATTTTTTCTGTTTTTATTGCAGTCCTCATGCTGTCACAGGTTTTATCGGCCTGACTCTTTTGACTATACAAACCATTTTACCTGCACTATTTGAGGTAAATCTGCTCAAATCCTCCAAATTATGACTCTTGTTTCATCAAGAAAACGAATTCTTCTTTCCTTTTACATTGTCAATAACTAGTTTGGAATGGAGACGTAGTTAATTGATTGATACTGATATTATATTTTCTTGAACTCGAATTCTTTTTTCAGGGAAATCCCGGGTTGAGGAATGTTCATGGCATATTGGGTAGTGGCATAATGACTTTGTTTCTAGTTCACGCTGCACTTGGACTTCAGCTTGGATTAAGTTACTAATCCATTAAAAGATTAAAAAGAGTAGCCTGCTGGGAAATTCATTTTTGGCTATGAGAAAGATTATGTTTAGAGGATTCAGTGAAATACTAAGTCATGTTCAAATTTGAAATAAAAATGATTAATTAGTGAATTCAATGAAATACTGAGTCATGTTCATATTTGAAAGAAAAAGAAAAGATTAATTAGTGGATTCAATGAAATACTAAGTCGTATACCGTATAGCAAAGATGCATGTTTCTACTAATTAATTTAAAATGCAACTTAATTAGATATTTCAAAGGTTAAAATTAGAATTTGTCAGCTTCAATTGGTGGGGTTTTTTTTTTCCCAAATCAACCTCCGAAGTTGTAGAGTTTTTTTTTTTTTCCTTTTGTTTTTCTAGAAAATAAAGAAAAAAGAATTGACCACTACTAATTTTGACAACGATGGGCTCATTCACATACCTATTAAATAAGTACTTTATCAAATTAATTACTCATCTTTTTTTCTTTGTCGGTCCTGGAAAATATACTACGTAACTAAGTTTCCCTGTAACTTTGACATACTGATGTCACTTGATTATTCAACGAAACCACTAGAATTAGGCGAATTTAACAGATTCTAGAGTCTATGGTAGTCCCTCCGTCCCAATTTATTTGAAGGTGGTCGATTTTTAAAGTCAAACAAATTATTGTTAGACCGTAATATTTTTTATATGTCTTTTAAATATTTTATATTATTAATTACTATAACTTATACTACTTTTTACGTGGTTTTCAAACATATAATTTTTATTTTCAAAACAATTTATGTCCAAATAATAATTAAAACTAAGAAATTTAAATCTCGAAAAAAATAAAATGTCACATAAATTGGGACGAAAGGAGTACGGATTCAGAATATAAGTTTTGGACTTTTGGGGTGGGTCTCATTATATAGCTCGGATCCCAATGTCCGATCGTGTGAACAGAAAAACAAATAATTTTGTTATAATTAAACAATCAAATTAGGCCAACAAATATAAGAACTCTTTAATATACGTGTGACCGACACTTTTCTTCTTCTTTTTTCATCCCATCTACACTCTATTTGATGAAAACAATTTAATTGTATCTAGTGTTCAATTCAATCAATAAATGTAAAACAAGTGATATTTTCTACTTATTTATAGTTAAATATGTTTTTTTTTTGCTTTAACATTTTATTGCTAGATTAATTTTTTTTTTATTTGATATAAATATCGAATGTCTGTTAAATTTTTACCCTAGTTGATTAATTGTGATACTCCATTTTTTTCATTTGATTTGAGATTCAAAAGTACTATTTGCACGTAAAAGTGTCTGAGTTTTTTCCTGATCTATATCGGCCTATCAATTGAAAATAAAGTTATCTCGATTAATTTTTTAAAACTTTATTTTTATTTAAAATTGGACTTTTGTTGTAGTAAATATTCTTTTATTTAAAATTGGATTTTTACTTATACTTCTATTATCATTTAGGACGTCCAATATTCAGAGTCCACCTTTTTATTTTAAAAAAAATTAACTATGACCGACACTTGGAAATCCTACTTGCTTTATCTCTGATCCAAGTAGTACAAATATAAATACTTGACAAGGACTATATATATATATATATATATATATATATATATATATATATATATATATATATATATATAGCTTAGCTATAAGTGAACTGTCAATGATTGTAAGTTGTAACGGATCTAACTTCTTTTCCTCTTTTCTACGTTGGCTTGATCTGCCCTAGGGATCCACACATGATCTGTTCTTCTTTTTTCTTTTTTTGGCTTTCTCATTATTATTTTTACGTACCCTGTCGGTTTCATTTAACGAAACATTATTTTGTTATTGTTCTGTTTTAAAAAAGTATTTTATTTTATACTTAAAAACAATTTAATTTTAAATTTTTATTTTATTGTTAATGACACGCTTTTATAATCACCTGAGATTAACGTGTTAAAGACCATAAATATCGAAATCCATTCTTTTTTCTAATTCCATGTCCAATAAAACTATGCTACATAAATTAAGGGATTCGACAAAGGTAGAATGCCTGGTCAAAGGTATAGTACAACAGGCGTATTTGTTTTGGCTCCCGAATAAGAATAATAAATAGGCGATGCATCATCTTTGCTACTACTTAGTACATTATACATCTGCGCTCCAACTGCGGTCCCGTTATACTAATGTGGTAAAAAAGATTAATTCAACGATATATGTCTGCATGTCGAGAGTTCGTGTTTAATTCAAGATCAAGTTAGAACAACTATTGACGTTGGAAATGTACCTCGAGATCAATTTATGTGCTTGAATTGTACTCAAATGTTTGCAAAGAGATTGGGCATTTTTAAATTATCGTAAATGCAAGAAATTTATAATAAATATTTAAGGAAATTAATAACGATAAAGGAAATAAAATATAGTATAATGCACAGTATAATTTCTAAACTATAAGTGTTACACTATGCCATTAGCACTGAATTTCTTCACTGTCTTGGGGAATTCCACTGCACATGCATGTTGATAATTTTTTGCTCCAAACCAACTTTATATGACAACATTATTATCTGGGAAGTCAGATTGAATTAGATTTGTCTTTGACTACAATCTTTTCCTACATTGTTTCAATATTTTCAGATATAAAAAGTTATAATCTATAATTTTTAAATTATAAAATTCAATAAGTGAGACAAAAACCATAAGATTTGATTCTTAATAGTCCAATTCCTTCATTCTTTTTAAGGTGATAGAGTCCCAGAAAAGACATCATCTTTTATCCCTATGCTAAGTTCAATGCTTTCTCCATCCCACAATATGTGTTATTTTCAATTTTGGAGAGTTAAGTTGACTAATTTTTGAAATAAAGTTAGATTAGATAATTTTATATTTTAAAATTAAATTTTAGATATCAAAAACTATACAAAAAGTACTATAAATGGTAATTCTTCTCATATCAATATCAATATGATAGAAAAATATATTCTAAACGTTGATCAAAGTTCATATAATTTAAGTGGGTGTTTGGACATAAGAATTGTAAAGTTCCAAAAAAAAAAGTGAAAAAAATTTCGAGTGAAAATGATATTTGAAAATTAGAGTTGTGTTTGGACATGGATATAATTTTGGGTTGTTTTTGAAGTTTTATGAGTGATCTGAGTGCAAATTTTGAAAAACAGCTCTTTGGAATTTTTCAAAAAAATTCTAAAATTCATCTTAAAGTGAAAGTTGAAAATTTTATGGCCAAACACTGATTTCGAAAAAAAGTAAAAAATTCTTATGTCCAAAGAGACCCGGCTCTAAATCTCGAGAAGCAAAAACGTAACACATATTTTTTGACAGAGGGAGTATTATTTATTAGGACAAAAAGTGGTCAAGATAAAAAGAAGAGGAGCCAAAAATTGTGAAAGGAACAAAAAGACAGATCAAATGCTTGAGTAATTGTCACATACAGCTAAGGCTTTTTTGGTCACACAAAAAAGACTACTTGAGCTTTGACATATGTTTGCAATTTGCATTACTCTTAAGTCTTAAATCATATTTTAATCATTCATTTTTTGGTCGGAATGAAAGGGAGATCCGCCCTACACGCCATGTTACTCTTGACGTGCCACGCATATATATAATTAAAGAAGATATTTTGTTTCTTTTGTGGTATTTACTATAATTAATCCTTTATTTAATTAGTGTAATTAAATACTTTGATAAATCATTACGTGACATGCAAATTCTAGGCTCAAAATGCTGAAAGTTCAATAAGAGATATTAAAGTGTACTTCAATGCAAAACCTACCACTTCATAACTTCAACTCATCTTGATTCGGTAAATCAAGAAAATATTCTCTATTATTTTTCAAGATTTTATTCTCCAGTATTAGATCTGCCAAACACCACCAAAGGATGTAGTGCAATGAATGAGACTGCTCTTCCCTTAACCAGAGGTCTCGGGTTCGACCCTTGCATATGGAAAAATCCTTGGTAGGGAGCGCTTCTCCCCGAATGGGGCCCTACGCGGCGCGAATCCAGATATAGTCGGACTCCAATGGGGGTACGGACACCGGGTGGGAAACCAAAAAAAAAAAAAATCTGCCAAACAATCAAAGAAATTAAAGAATCAGTTAGGCAAGCTATAGTTTCTCTAAAAATTCTCATAATTAATTGATGAATCTCAGAAGAAATAAATACAAGTTGCAATAATCTAGTTTCTTAAAATTAAAAAGATCTTTAAAAAAAATCCGCATTCTTTCTTCTTCCATATTTTCTTTTACATCAAACAAAATATATTACGTAACTAATTGACATAAAATTTCAGAAATCACAAAGCTAGAAGGGAAGATATGAAGTTACACTCTTTATGTAACATGATTAAATTGAATACTAAAAGTTTAAAACATTAATTTGACTCGTATATTATGTAAATGTTATGGGACGAAAATTTCAATATTTGAACGATAAAATATAATACAAATTAAAATAACCGTTTAATATGTTAAATATTGTTGAAGTTACGTACTTATATAAGTTAGATAAAATAATACTCCCCCAAAAGAATGACGGGAATCAGAATATGATGACCAATAAATATATTCTTCAGTGTTAATCCTAAATTAGTTCCTATATTTTTTTAAAAACAAGAAATTACATAAAATAGGTAAATTGCAATTTTAGCTGAAGATACGTAATAAATTTTTGAAAACTCTTAATGGAAAAAATTATTTGACTTCAAGCAAGAAATATTTAATATTAGGATTTTTTTTTATCTTCTAATATTTGAACTCCAAATCTTTAGTAGGGACAGATACTATTATATTCTACCAACTTTAGATAGCTCGAGTTATTAGTGCAAATGTTTCAACATTTTGACTTTACACCATATAAAAAGTGACATATATTGTGCAACAGAGTATTTTACTCATTAATATGAAACCTAAACTAAGGGCCGTTTGGACATAGAATCTTTTTACTTTTTTTTTGAAATTTTTTCACTTTTTTACGAAATCAGTGTTCGGCCATAGAATTTTTAATTTTCACTTGAAGATAAATTTTGGAATTTTTCGAAAAATTGAAAAACTATAAAAAGGTATTTTTCAAAGTTTTCACTTAGATCATTCACAAAATTAAAAAACAACCCAAAACTATATACATGTCCAAACACAACTCTAATTTTTTACTTGAAAAAAAATTCACTATTTGAAATTTTACGATTCTTATGTCCAAACGCCCCGTAAGTATTTTGTTCTACCAACTATAGAATAAAATCAAATACTTAGAAAATCAAATCATGTCAAAAAGTTGGTAACTTCTTCCCTATGGTCAAAAGAGACATCTACCAAACCTCGTTGTTGGTGAGTTAAAAAGCCAACTAGTATCAAAAATTAGTTCGACTTTTAAACTAACAAATCCAATTCTTAAAGCACAACGTACAACTCCGCACTGAAAATTCTCACCAACCAACTTCTTCTGATTATTATTATTATTAAATTTTTTTTATTTTTTTATTTTTTTTAAGATTCTCACCAACTTCAACTAATAGAAAAATTTATAAAACCATCTTAATGGGAACATGTGAGTCATAACTAACGTAACGACGCATAAAACCCCGAAAATAGAATGGAAATGTACGTTCATGATTGGCTACACGCAATTTCAGGGATCATCTGGACCGTTAAAATAAACAGTGGGTCCCGCAAAGAGAGGGTAAATTTGGGGTGCTAAATCGTGTTTTAAACAAAAAAACGGTGTGGTGCTAAATGGGTCCCACAGAAGGTCATTGTGGGCCATAGGTTGGTTGGTATACGAAATGAAAGTGAGAAGAAAGAGAGATTGAGAAAGCGAGTGAATCATACGCTCCATTCCCCCCTTCAATTTCGCTTGTGTATAAATACTGGACCGCAACTTCCCCAAACTCGTGACCATACACAGATCAGATCCAATTCTCTTCTGTGTTTCCCTTCTCTGCTCTCAAATTCTTCAGATCTACAAAGTTTTCTTCATTTTCAGAGGTATGTTTGTCTAATCCATGCCGCAATTTTACAGTTGCTACTTTCTTTTTCTGTATTGAATTCGTAATCCGTGTTACTCACTTACTCCTATTAGATCTGTTATGAATCTTCATGCGTACTTTTTTGTTGATTTAAGATCTAGATCTCAGCATTTCTGTGGTGAATATTCTCGTTATATTGAATTATATTTATGAACATGAGTATCATACGTGTTAGATTCGTTTGGTAATAACTGAATGTCTGTAAATTAGTATTTTTCTATCGACATTTTTCAATAACGAGTCGTATTCATGAATTACTTAGGTTAATAGTTAGATCTCAGCATTTTTGCGGTGAATATTCTCGTTATATTTTGTTATATTTGTGAACATGAGTACTATACATGTTGATTCGTTTTGTAATTGTTGAATGTCTGAAATTTTTTGATATGGAGTCTTATGCATGCATTACCTAGGTTAATGGTTAGATCTATTTGTTTACTAGTGAAATTATCTTTGATTGTTATGTTATTTGTTGATATTGGCAACACTAGTAGTCGGATCTCATTGATAAACTAGTCTTATGGTAACAAGGAGTTGTATCTGGAAAAAAGTTTGATACTTTTTCATAAATTTGGGTAGTTTAAGTTTTAATGGCGAGTGTAACGGCATAAGCATGTTTGATCTTGGTTAATTATTGAAAAGGAATAAGGAAAATAGTTATTTTTAATTGTTGCGTTGTCTCATCTGAAGTACTACTCAGATCTCATTCATAAATACCTTACAGGGAGTTGCATCTGCATATGATTTAAGGGCTAACAATGTAACTCTTCACTGTTAAGTTTAGAAAGGGAAAGCCAATAAAGCAACCAAAAAAGAAGTTGACTCTGGTTGTTATATTGTCTTCTAAGGTTATCTGTAGGTCTGTTGATCTCATTGCTAATAACCGTCTTTTAACTAGTAAANCTTTAAAAAATCTCTAAAGTTGAGTTTTTGGATAAAATCTGTGATGAATCTTCATGCATATTTGATCCTCAAAATGGTCTTGTCCGCTAGATCTTCTTAATAACAACGTTTCCACTACAATTATGACCTAGTTATATTGCCAAATAAGTGTTAATATAATGGTGGTCAACTCTGGTTATTCCATCAGCTTTAATACTTCTGGTCTTCTGCCTCTAGGTGGAGAATTCTTTTCTTTGAGCACCTCAAATGGCTCCTCGAGATGATTAAATTCCTTTTCTGTTATTTAGTTCTGAGTTCTGACTACTTCTTATTGTCTCATGTGTGACGCAAGCAGTTTTTTCGTGATTTTCTGGTAAATTGAATATTTTAAGATAGATTTTAACACATGCTCTTAAATTTGATCAGGGCAGACATGGAAACTTTCTTGTTCACTTCAGAGTCGGTCAATGAAGGCCACCCCGACAAGCTCTGTGACCAGGTCTCAGATGCAATTCTTGATGCTTGCTTAGAACAGGATCCAGAAAGCAAGGTTGCATGTGAAACCTGCACAAAGACAAACATGGTTATGGTCTTTGGAGAGATCACCACCAAGGCCACTGTCGACTATGAGAAGATAGTACGTGACACATGCAGAGGCATTGGGTTCACCTCAGCAGATGTTGGCCTTGACGCTGACAACTGCAAGGTTCTTGTCAACATCGAGCAGCAGAGCCCTGACATTGCCCAAGGTGTTCACGGTCATCTTACCAAGAAACCAGAAGAGATTGGAGCTGGTGACCAAGGTCACATGTTTGGCTACGCCACTGATGAAACCCCAGAGCTCATGCCCCTTACCCATGTTTTGGCCACTAAGCTTGGTGCCAAGCTTACTGAAGTGAGGAAGAACAAGACTTGCCCATGGCTCAGACCAGATGGCAAGACCCAAGTTACTGTTGAGTACAAGAACGACAATGGTGCCATGGTCCCCATTAGAGTCCACACTGTTCTCATCTCAACTCAACATGACGAAACTGTCACAAACGACCAGATTGCCCAGGACTTGAAAGAGCATGTGATCAAACCTGTGATCCCAGCTCAGTACCTTGATGAGAAAACCATCTTCCACCTCAACCCATCAGGTCGCTTCGTCATCGGTGGACCACACGGAGATGCTGGACTTACCGGCAGGAAAATTATCATTGACACCTACGGAGGCTGGGGTGCCCATGGTGGAGGTGCTTTCTCAGGAAAGGATCCTACTAAGGTGGACAGGAGTGGTGCTTATATTGTTAGACAGGCAGCAAAGAGTGTGGTCGCCTCAGGACTTGCTCGCCGCTGTATTGTGCAGGTTTCTTATGCTATCGGTGTGGCGGAACCACTTTCCGTGTTTGTTGACACTTACAAGACTGGAACAATTCCAGACAAGGATATTTTGGCTCTGATCAAGGAGAACTTTGACTTCAGGCCTGGAATGATGTCAATCAACCTTGACTTGTTAAGAGGAGGCAACTTCAGGTACCAGAAGACTGCAGCTTATGGTCACTTTGGCCGTGATGACCCCGACTTCACATGGGAGACTGTCAAGGTCCTCAAGCCAAAAGCTTAAGTGAGGTGGTAGCCTTTTGGCCATTATTTTTCTTGCAGACCAATAAACAAGCTTCATCATATCATACATTGGTGGCAGGAGAAGAGAATTTGTGAACATTTGTTATTTTTCTTTCTTTTTTTTCACCCATTTCTGCAGTACTTTATTTTATTTTGATACTGTTAAGTAGCAGTGATTTAAGTTTCCCTGTTAAGTAGCAGTGAATTAAGTTTCCCTTGTTCTATCATATTATATATGAATTTGTCAAATTATCTCCTGAGGTGAAAGACTTTGTTTATCAATTGGTTTGCCTTTGTCTGGAAACACTGTTATGCAAATACAATCAGGTAATAGTTTATTGCTACCTTTCCATGCCCATGGTAAACTGAGAATTGTGATAAAACTAAAAGCAGAATTTCTAAAATTTGGTTGTCTACAATTGATAATAATGAACAACTTAGTCTGTTGACAATACAAAAGTACAGTAATCTGTTATAGAAACTGCCACCTATGATCCAGTGATTTGTTTCAATTGCAAAAGGCAATTGAAGATTCCTTCTAAGAGTGCAACCACAGACGGTCATGCAATCGCTCTTCTCCTCCACCAAACATCTCATCAACCCTCTCACCATCTCGGTAGAAATGAAAAGTTGGCGTGTAACGAATGTTCTGAGTTGTCTCTGGACATTCATCGATATCAGCATATATGAAAGAGAGTTTAGGGAACTTCTTGCTCAGCTCCTGAAATGTAGGAAAGATCTGGTTGCAGACACGGCACCTACAAATGCAAAAGCGATGATTATCAGTACTGGAGAAATTAGTGTCAAAACACTTTTGAGTAGTTTCTTGGTCATTTGATGGCTTTCAGAAACTCATTGTCACCGTATAGTTTACGTCTATTGGTTTCAACATTATAACTTCCAGATTTATCAAGTTGACAGAAAACTGACATCCATAGTGTCTAATTTCATTTACTTGTCTTCAGATAGTATGTTTCATACTGCTTAAAGATTATGCTCTACTAAATAAGAACATAGCAGAATCAAGTTAAGATTTCAAAGTTGATTTCACTACAGCAAACACTCAAATACAATGAGAACATCCAAACAGGGAATTAGCAAGAATCCCACAAGACAACGATGAAACAATCTACTTATAGATATCTGCTTTAGTTCGCAGCCAAACAGCATCAACTAGTAACCGATGAAAAACCAGGACCATTTTATAAGAAGATTGAGAGCAGCCTCATGCACTGGCAAATAACAAAATTGACAGAGGAAGACAAAAATTCAAGTAGTGTTTTGAAACAAAGGTACTATATGGCTACGACTTTTTAATTGAGCGATACTATAGCAGCTTTGTGACTTCAAATCCTTAATATTTTTAAATGAAGTATCCTCTAGAACTCGATGACACAATGAACACAGGAGGACTTAAGAAGATCTAGAGCCACAGCCTTGTGCGCTAGCAAGTAACATAATTGACAGAGGAAGATGAACTGGCTTGAAATCTGGAAATATGGGGTTGATTGAAAAGCCTATGTGGTACAACTTTCCTTCACCATTTGCAATTTCTGCTCTCAGCACTTCCACTTTTCTGCTGTTGGTTTCTTTCTATTAGATTCATTCATATTCTAGTTGAATTTCACAAAAGATGCTCGAAAGAACTGTATACAAATCAGGCACAGAAGACTCAGAACGTAACAAGCGAGCACCAAAAAAGTAAATATTTGAACCAGAGATGGAGTTTTAACCAAAATTGTCCTTAATGTTCAGGGGCAGGTTCATTTTTATCCTTCAAATATACATCTACGCGCACATATCATCCTTAAGTTTGCCAAAGTTGAGCAAATTTGGTCCGGAACTGAAAAGCTGATGATGAAGTTCTTTCTAGTTTGAAACATAATCACAGGGGCGTATCAGCAGGGTGAAACAGACAAGGAGCTAGACATGAGAATAAAGAATTTACTGTGTTAAACAAGATATATCTTCCCTGTAAAGGAAAATGAAAAAAGAAACAAATAAATAGCGATGAAGATTATAAGTCCAGAACAGTGCTTCTTGAAGAACTCTCTAGATGATTCTTATCATTTATTAACTTTTGTTTGCTTCAGTGAGTAATGTATATTTGTTCATTAAATGACAAATTTGGTTAAAAACTCGGTAGAGATGTATACTCATTAGGATTTTACCTGTTCCAATCCCCTGGTAGTAACTGCCCCTCCCCCTCTTCTCATCCAGATTGGTACACAGTCAGTGGCAGAACTAAGTAGAAGGAAGGGGGTTCAGTTGAATTCCCTTGGTCGAAAAATTATACTGCACATATAGGGTAAAAACAATTTTTTTTGGTTATATGTAAGCTGTCGAATCCCCGTGATATGAAGAAAAATTCTAGTCTAGAGGTAAACGTCCTGCAGAGTCCCACAAGTGGGGTCTCGGGAGGGTAGTTTATACGCATACCCCACCTCTATCCTTGAGAGGTAGCGAGGATGTTTCTGGTAACCCTCGGCTCAAGAAGATGAAAAGCAACAATAGAAACAAGTAATATCAACCACAGGGGCCAGAAAGATAATAACAACAATCTAAGAACCATAAAAATAGGCTGAAGGGAGCAATAGCAACAAGCAGTAACAACGGCAAGTAAACGAGATTCATAGGTTCAAATTCCAACACATTCTAAATTTTTTAAATCCCCTTTGTATAACTTCTGGCTCCGCCACTCTTATACTTAACTCCATAAAAAACTAGGGAAAGAAAAAAATTAAATGGGATGGACCCATTTGGAATAAACAGAAAGAATATTGCAAGCTTTTAGACTAGTTCAATCTTTTATCCTACTGTAATATCAAGAAAACTTAGAGAGTTAGAACACACAGCAATTGCCTAAGCACTTCCAACCAAAGAGAAAAACTCCTACAACATTAGGCTATAAATATGGTAAAAATCCAAGAACACAGAATAAAAAGGCAGCCCGGTGCACCGAGCTTCCGCTATGCGCGGGGTCCAGGGAAGGGCAGACCACAAGGGTCTATTGTACGCAGCCTTACCCTGCATTTCTGCGAGAGACTGTTTTCACGGCTCGACCCGTGGCCTAGTGGTCACAGGCTCACAGCAACTTTACCGGTTACGCCAAGACTACTCTTCCAAGAACCCAGAAAAAAAGACCAAAAGTAAAAGATTTTTAGTGAACCATTGACTTACCAAGAAGCCCCATAATTGATTACAGCCTGCAAACACAGTTTTCCCAAAAGCAGAAGTTAACAAAAGCTTTAATTCACCATTATCTAAAAATAAAAAACCTTGCTTTTTCAAAAAAATTGTACAAAAAACTTAACTAACCGGAGTTTTAGTTGTTCTGATACTGTGAAAAATGTCCTTTAGATTTTCGTCACCGGTGGCTGTCTTCAAGTTCCCCTGTTCTTCACCCATTTTTTACTTCTTTTTTCTTTTTTCTGAATATTTATCAAAACCCATTAATTATTAGTCCAATAAATACCCCCACTACATCTCTTACTACCCCATTTAGTCCAATTTTTTCTCTTGACGAATCTGCCCCTGAAAGTCTAAAGAATTCACGGAAAAAGTTCAAAATTTGTTCATATACTACTCGAAATTACTCAAATTTACTACCCTCTATATTACTTTTGGGTCTTGTATATCTTTGCTAGAGGCGGATCCACGATTTTGGTAGGATGATTGCACCATCAAGAAAAAGTGGATCCAGAATATTAATTTTACAGTTTCAGCCTTTAGCTCTGATAATAGGTGAATTTGACTATAATCACACCTTAAATAATCACCTTCTTGTGTAGTTTTAATGCTAAAAGTGATAACAAAATGCTCTTATTAGTGCTTTTCATAATTTGCAGGCGATATATGTATAAGGAAGGCTAAGGAGCAGGTTTTGGAGTCAAAATTGATGAAAAAGAGGCCAACTGTGAAATTTCCCAAGTGAACCATGCAAAACAGGCCGAAGATTCAGAGCACTGGGTCCACCGCGGTTCCACCGCGACCGCGGCAGAACCGCGGTGGAAAGCAGCTGCAGAGAACCGCGGCAGGCGCAGAAACTTCAGGGACCAAAGTGTCAATTACGGGATTTTTAGACCTAAACCCTATTTAAAACATTAGACTTCGCCCAAGAGAGGCATGTAT